TACTACATTTAGTCACGGGAGAGGTGCGAATAACAATTCCCTAAAATAATTCTATATGTGATAATGACTTTGTTCCGGTGATATTTTATTGAATGAATACATGATAAAAAAAATTTTTAAATAATATTTTTTTTTTTGATCTAGTATAATGAATTTTTTGGATATTTTTTTTATTAGGATGACCTTTAGTTTTTACTTTCAATGGATTTTTGATCACATTATCATTATCATCTTTTTCATTTCTCTCCTCATTTGTTAATTTTAAATAGACTTCTTCAAGTGCATTATCTAATAATTGATATTTCTTTTTATCTTCATTTGCAAAATTTGTGATTTTCCTAAATTTATCAAAAGCTGTAATATAGCCAGAATTTTTTCTTTTATCTTTTATATTTATAATTGCTGGTGGATTTATTTTCAAGAATCTCCTTGAACCTTCACCAAATGTTTCTACAAATGGTTTTGGTTTTTCATGAATTCTAACACAATTACTACTGAATATATATTCATTATCTAACTGGTCTTCTTGAACTCTTCTTTAAGCCATCTTCTTGCAACTATGCTGATATGGAATTTTAAAAGTTTGCTCTTTTTTAAAATTTCAAAAAAGTGTCTGCACACTACCAAATTACTGCGGAAGTCACGTGTTAATGACATCATTTCTATTTTTATTTTTAATATTACACAGTGAGTCTCGATTTAATATTAGCGGATATTTTTTTTCCAGAAAATTTATCCGTTAACAGTAACAGGACATTTCCCACCGATCTATAGGAGGTTGCAAAACATAGTAAAATTTGGATGATCTGCATCATAGTAAAATTCGAATTTACATAGTAAAATTTTATAATCGAATGTCTTCACACCCTCGTTTGATACCCTTGCTGTGTAGCAACCACCACCAAATTTGAGATATAATTTCTTTATCATATGTATCTACTTTATGAAAAATCTTAAAGCAGGTTGTTAATAAAACCGAAAATAATCTGACTCTCAAAGTCAAACTTTGCCTTTATATTCATATGCGTAAAATTTTGTTTGACGTGTCCAATTGCAAATATGTTGTTATGAATATTTATACAATTTTGTTCACCTAGATATGTCAAATCATTTATTTTAAAAATAAATATAGTAAATAAATATTTTCCTTTACATTTTATTCCTACATAAATAATAACGATTAAAATAATTATATAATATGAGCAAGCAACAATAATAAAGTGACATTTAATATTATTATTAAAATGCGTCAACGAATTGTGATTTAAAATCAATATTAAATACCATTACTGATGTGCAATAGAATTCGGGCTTTCTTCGATCAACTACTTGACGAGATACAAAAATATATGGCAATAGGTAAAGAACTATTGCGTTTTTTTTTGAATTTTAAATACTTGTATGGCATTTTCAAATAAGCATCATAATCAAATTCACCTATTATATATAAAAACATTTATCAAGTATATTATACAAAACTTGCTTTCCAAGCTTTGTAGTATTGGTTAATTAGTTTTAGAGAGATTCACAAAAAAACAGTTTTATAAACCCGAGTATATTAAAATTTAGATTACCCGAACACATTCTATATTGTAAAGACAGTAATTGTAATATGTTTTTTTTCATTATTTACTTTTGCATCTATTTTTATATTATTATTAGTTAATATTTTATATGCATATATATATTTTTGGAAATGTAATGATTAAATTAAAAGGAATTTACATGATTTTCTTTCTCCAAAGGTTAATGGTTAAACGAAACCAGAAAGAATTGTTACGCGACCGTACTTTATTTATTATTAATTATGATATATTCCTGTAATAACAATTACACTATTATTTTTTTAGATCTGGGTGATATACGATCAGAAAGGATTGTTACGTGACAATCAAATTAGTTATTTTAATTTTTTCTATATGTTTTGGAAAGGAAACATGCAAACCAGCTTGCAGTAAGATTTCTATTTATTTATACTTTCAATTTTTAAAAAATTTTCTCAAGTCAATTACAAATTCTGTTCGGAAATATCGAAAACTTCAAGCAGAACATGGACTGGCGATTGTTTCTCGAAGCTTTCGAATTGCAAGGGCACATACAAATTTTTGTGTTGCTGAATGTACATCACTAATACATATTCTTTCAAAACTTGCCATTTTATCATGTTAGTAACATTAGTTTTCTTTACGTAAGGCTCTTGGTAGATTGAAATGCTTATAGTTAAAAGTCACCAATCATTCCGGAAGAGCGAGAATTCTTTGGAGAGGTGCAATCCTTTTTTTCACGCCAATATAATGACCACAGCCCATGTTAGCATATGTGCAGTGGGCTCAAAATTCACAGCCTTCTGGATCTTGATGCATTTGAAGTAATTAATGCTATTAAATAAATTTGCTTGATTTTTCATACATTGCTCATTTTTCATCTCAATCATGTATCTTAAATTAGTTGTGTTTATAATCATTTCATTGACATTCATTATATTAAGATTATTTTGATTATATCGAGAGATATGGTCAAGAGAAGAGTTAGGAAGAGAGTTATTCTTCGACCAAGTCAAAAACAACCCTTTAATACATTTTTGAGTAATACAATTTAATTTATTAGACTATTTCAATGGTTGCTTCCAACTTCTTAAATTCGTTAACGAAACAGTTGTTGGTGAAGCGATTGTTGACAAACCATATCAGATATTTATTTCTACGTTATCAAATTCACAATTTTAATTGGTCAATCAACAAATTGCATGGGTTAAAATTTTGTGTTTCCCTCCTGTTAATTTTTGTGTTCCCAGAACTGTTTTTATGCAACTAAAAAGATTTTACTGGTGTTTTTCACCATATTAATCAAAAGACGTAACCGAATGAAAAATAAATAAATAAATAAATAAATATCTCAACTGTCATACATAGTATGTAGTGCACGAAATGGTGCAATAGATAAAAAGAGATAAAAATTATTATCCTAGTATTGCATCATGGGCTGTAAAGACCCTGAGATTGTTACTGATTCTCTAACGTGGAATTATATCAATATTTTTTGGCAGAAGATAGATAAGGTTAGTAGTCTTATAATAATAAATGTTTTATGCTTTTATATACTTCACAAGCATGCAAATTAAAAGTAGATATAAATTGATGAGGAGTAGTAATTTCAATTAACACATTTTGATTTATTTGATATTAATATTTATTTAGCTTTGTATAATTTTTTTTTAATAGATAAATGCCAATCGTGTATACTATTTACAAAGTATACTAATACATTGGTATGGTCGTAGAATTAATTAACAAAAAAATAAATTTAATGAAGAAAATTATTATAGAAGAATTAATTAATATACGTTACGATAATGAATAAAATCCACGTAGAAAAATGAGAGAGAGGCTAGTTACAAGTAACATTAACGATAATTGATTATTCTAAATGCTGATACTACGCTATTAAAGGGCTTAGGTCTGTAATAATTATAATCTTCAAGCTTACCTCCAGAGTAAAAAGCGAATAAGCGATACCGGCAAAATTTTTCCCGGATAATAACTTTTGAAGATCAATTCTAACTCACACAGCCCATTGAATAAGATTATCACCCTTTCTCACGATATACAGACTGTCATATAATCTTTCAGTTACAAAGAGTTATTTGAGTCGTTCACCACCAAAACTACAACAATTGGAGACATGTTATTAATTGGTTTTTGCGGTTTGGCTTTTTTATTAAAGATAATATGAATACTAATGCCTCGTTTAATAGACATAATAAGTTACTGTGATTATGCAATTTGTAGTCTTTTATCAAATATATGTTTTAGCAATTTATAAGGCTCATGAGACCTATCGATTTTATCAATTATATTAAACCAATTTCATTTTTTTGTACAGTCAAAATAATCTATATATTTTTTCGAAACTTAACAAACTTTTTGTAATACATCAAGAACCTTCTGAACATCTTCACTAGAAGCCCGATGAAATTCGTCTTCCTATGGAATAAATTTTAAAGCTCCTAATGCCCATATAGTAAGGACAATGCATTTAACATCAAGGGAGTGAGTCTTTCCTAGTCAAGGAGATTTTACAAAATAATTGGTCATTCATTATATATGTTTTTCCACTTGCTAAATACTTGTAAATGATATCTTTCATATAATAAATTTAAGAAGAATACAAAAATTTAACTTTCAATTTCAAGTTTGTTGAGTAAATATTGTAATTCAACTTCTTTTAAGATTTGAAAAATGCAGTGCTGAGTTAACGAAAAACAGAATAATTGATAGATATTAAATGTTAATATTAATATTAATATTTGATTTTAATTTAAATCTTTAATAAATTACAATTTAATCAAAAATATAATGTATATATGTGTGTGTATATATATAAATATATATATATATATATTATATTGAATCCACTTTTTTTTAAAAAAAATACATCTATCATAAATAATCATGTTTAAGTAAAAAATATAAATTATGTATAATATATATAAAAATAATATTTACTGAATTTGTGAAGGAATAAAGAAAACGATTTCTAAATCATCATCTTTTAAATATAAAAATAAAAAAAAATATATTATATGAAAGAAAATCCCTAATATCCAATATATATATATATATATATATATATAGAAATAAAAAAAGTATAAAATCCACAATTATTTTTAAATATCTAAGAAATAATTATTTTCTCCAAAATTATTGTTTAAAATTTTTAAAATAAAAATATTCATTATTTTTTTTTTTGTTAATTATGATAATATATATATATATATAAATAAAAAAATTTTGTTTAAAAAAATTTGCGAAAAAGTCTTTTAAAGATATACAAAAAAAAAGTGTATAAATGGGATAATCGTTGTTACTATTTAACAAGAATTAGATATAATAAAAAAACGTTCTCAAACTTATTAAAAAATAAAGAAAATATAGTCCATCTTATATGATAATATCAATAGTCTAATTAAAGAAAAATCATTATTATTATTTCTTTTGTTTCTAATTATCAGATTCATCATTCTGACTCCCATTACTACCAATACCATTACTACCACCTAAATTAGAAATGTTTGTATTTGCGTTACCCCCTGATAATGTTATTGTGTTGGCATATGGATTTGTGTTTACTATTCCAGGACTTGTAGGTCCTATTAACGGTGCAATACCATCTTTTCGCATTTCAACTTGTCGTTTATCATAAAACTCAAAATCATCCAGTATAGAAGTCTTGCTCCGATACTCATAAAAGATTTTAAGCATTTCACGACCTGGCTCAGTATAAAGCTCTTGAGTATCGCGACTATTTGTAACAGGTTTATTCTCATTATTCCTATATTTATGTTTTTATTTTAATAAAAAAAATTTTTTGAATTAATGAATTATATGCCTTTAATAGCCTATTTTAAAACTTTAAATACTAACACCACTCTAATATGCCTTAATTGTCCGTTAGGAATGTCTTTTACAAAAATCCATTTTACATTAAAAACGCCTTTCCATTTATCTTGGGCCCAAACACTGCTACTAGTAGTATAATCAACAGGTGTAAGCATTTGTGCCATTCCACAGAAATGTCCACTAAATAATGATTCGAATAATACACGCACATATATATTGTTTAAACGTTATTTTTAATACAATAATACTAAAGAAATGATTTGCTATTATTAAATTAAATAAATACTCTCACCTAGCATTAACACTAAAAAATAAATATATCGGACCTTTATCTGCACTTTCACGGAATGCTTTATCCAAACGACGATTACCAATTTCAGTACTGGCCCAAATGTCATACTATATATATATATAACAATATTGATTAATATTTAATATTTTAGAATAAATATTTAATTTCTTTAAAGATTAGATCAATAGTATTAAAAGTAATTTTAAAATAATATCATCTATATTTATTTACCTTTAAAGATTTGTGAACATCATCTTCAGTGTAAGACTTGATAACAAAATACCTTGCCTGAAACCAATGAAACGGATAAAAAAGTTAACGAGTCATTTGAATTTTCCTGTATATAAGGCAAGTACGTGGAAAGTATTAATTTGATGCTTACATGTGTGGGTTTACAGTTGAAATTCTTGGGATTATAACCTTTAGCTGCAATCCATGATGTCATATCTTTCTTTGATACAATTGGTGTTGTTGGAATAGACATTTGTCCAACTCCAGTAGGCGTGGTAAGATTTGAATTAGGCGTACCAAAAAGATTATTTATTCCATTACTTGTAGGTGTACCTACAATCTTAGCCTTACCAACCCAAGCACCAGTAGGTGCAGACACTGGTCTGGTTGCATATGTTGCAGCTGTTGCTGATGTAGGTGAAACTGCAGAAGAAGGTGAAATTGCTGCACTATAAGCCCCTGGTACTGTTCCAAGCACCTCTGGAGAAGTGTTAATTGGAGAAGGTTTCGGTGCAGTTTTTGCAATCGCCGCCCAACTTAATTTTGTTGGTTGTTTTTGAGTTGCTGAAAGGTCAGTTGATGTAACATTATTTATTTCAGAAACAACACTGCCATTAGAGTTTGTCAAATTAATATTAGTCAAAGAATGTGTTAAATCTGCAATTGATTGATTGTTTGTACCATTTCCTGATAAGTCATCTCTAACGTTTCCAAGTAAAATGGGTTGATTTGCTCCAGTTAAAGTAGGAGAAGCGAGACCTACCAATGTGGGATTAAAATACTGTTCAATGTGATCTGTATTGGGCGGTGGTGATGTAAGTATGCTACCATTTCTTGGTGAAGTAGGACTACGATATCCTTCTAACCCTGGTGGTGGAGACATAATAGGTTTCTGAAGTCCATGAATGTCCAACTTCAATTCAGCTCGCCGAAAGTCCTTATTCTCATTAGTTATATATTTTCCGGTTTCACGTTGTGGGAGTATGATATCATCACTATTCGAATCATATAAAGCCATACTTCCAGTAACAACATCATCAGATGTTATATCACCATTTCCATTCAAGCGACGAACTTGAGATCCATCTGAAGCTACAGAAGTACTCCATGATGGAAGTCGGAATGTTAAAGCAAGATCTGCTTGGTTTGTGTTTTTTTGTAAAAGTTGTTTCTGTTGCTGTTGTTGTTGTTGTTGCTGCTGCTGCTGCTGTTGTTGTTGAAGTTGAAGCTGTTGTTGTTGGATAATTTTTTGTTGTTGTCTTAACTGTTGTTGTAATTGTAATTGAAGTTTTTGTTGTTGTGACTGTTGTTGCGACTGTTGCTGTGGATGCTGAGATTGTATTGATAAGTGATGTTGTTGTTGTAGAGGATTTACAAATGGTCTGAATTGAAAATGAATTTGTTGAGACGGAGGGTAATAACCAGTGGGTGAATAATGTGTTGTAACATTTGTAGAGAGATTTTGATCGTAATATTCTAAAGGAACATTTAACCCATATTCAAAATTTGTATGATCCTCATGAGTATTAATTTTGACTTTTGGTTCCCATCGTTTTGCTGGTGTATCAGCCATTTATTTCAAGTGAATGAATTAGAAAAATTTTATGGTGGAATGTGACAGAAAATTCTTATGTAACAAATCACTCGGCGGTTCCATTGAACGTCATCATCCATCAGTCACGATTATTATGCCAACAATTTTGATCTTTGTGTGTTACAATCTATAAAAATTTTATAGTATATAGTAATAATGAATAGAAAAGCTAAAATTCTGATACTTCCTGGTGATAATTGTGGTCCAGAAGTTGTAGCTGAAGGTGTAAAGGTTTTAAATTTAATTTCAAAAACTCGTTCAAAACATAATGGCGTAGAATTTAACTTAACTGAGGCAAAAATTGGCGGATGTGCTATTGATAGTACAGGTATTTGATATTTGAAATATCTTACATAAAAGAAAAGGTCACTTATTTGATTAAATTATGAATATTTAGGCACATCACTTCCGTCTGAAACTCTTGAAGCTGCTAAAAACTCTGATGCAATTCTTCTTGGTGCAGTTGGAGGACCACAATGGCCAAAACCTATTGATCCAAATAATCCTTCTAGTGGCTTAGGCCCAAGACCTGAACAAGGTTTATTGGATATTAGAAAGTCACTTGATTTGTTTGCAAATTTAAGGCCATGTTCGTTTGCAAGTGATTCCTTGGTTGCTTATTCTCCTTTAAAAGAAAATATTGTCAAGGGCACAGAATTTACTATAGTTAGAGAACTGGTTGGTGGCATTTATTTTGGTGATAGAAAAGAAGAAGATGAGAATGGTCAGGGTAGGTTTATTAATACCATGGTTATTAGATATATTATCTGTAAATTAGTAGAAGAAATAAGACAGATTTGAATATCATTTTTATATTTATTTTCTAATGCATTACATATTTTTTTTATAGCTTACGATATCCTTCCTTATTCTGTTGAAGAAGTTAAAAGAATAACACGTTTGGCTGCTCATCTTGCCCTTGAAAAAAATCCTCCTGCAACAATTCACTCGCTTGATAAAGCAAATGTTTTGGCTACATCAAGACTTTGGCGCCGTGTAGTCACTGAAACATTAAAAAATGAATTTCCTAATGTCCCTTTTAAGCATCATTATATTGATGCTGCTTCAATGTTCTTAGTTAAAAGTCCAACTATATTGAATGGAATTATTCTTACGGAAAATTTATTTGGTGATATTTTGAGTGATGAAGCAAGTGTTATTCCCGGTAGTTTAGGATTGTTGCCTTCTGCTAGCTTAAATGGGTTACCTGACGGGAAAAGTAAATGTCTTGGTTTATATGAACCAATTCATGGCTCTGCTCCTGATATTGCTGGTAAAGGTATAGTTAACCCTATTGCAACCATTCTTAGTATTGCAATGATGTTACGTTACTCTTTACATTTGGAACGTGAGGCAAAAGCTGTAGAAGATGCAGTACGTAAAGTATTAGATGATGAAGACTTTGGCGGATTTGGTTTTCGTACGAAAGATTTAGGTGGTAATAAAACCACTGTTGAAATTGGTAACAAAGTAGTTGAAGTACTTGAAGGATATTTAGAAGGAATAAATTCAGAAGATCGCATTTTAAATGTAAATCCAAAGCGCAATTTGATTTTTGAAAGGCCTTCTGGACGTAGAGGAATGACAATTTGTGAAAAAATCATCACGCATTCTGCTATTGGTTTACAACCACCTGGAGATGTTAAACCAGGTGACATGATTTGTGTCTCTGTTGATTGGACTTTAGCTTCGGAGCTTACTTGGAAAGGAATGGAAAAAACTTATGATATTATGGGTAGACCAAGTATTTATCGTAATGACAGGTTTTGGTTAGCTATTGATCATTCAGTTGACCCACGCATAAATCATTTGCCCAAGCCTAAAGGACTTATCAAAGCATCTGAGGAATTTGCTAAAGAAGCTAAATTGGTTGATTTCTACAAACCAAATCATACAATATTACACACAGAATTTTATCGTGAAAGAGCTCAACCAGGTCAAATGATTATCGGTGCTGATTCACATACTTGTTCAGCAGGTTCGGTAGGCGCATTTGCTGTTGGATTAGGTGCAGCTGATGTGGTTATGCCCATGATAACAGGCGAGACATGGTTTAAAGTGCCTGAAACAGTTGAAATAAAATTTATAGGCAAACCTAGATTTGGTATTGGTGGTAAAGATACAATTTTACATGTACTTGGTGAACTTAAAAGAAATACGGTGGCGTTTGAAAGAGCTGTTGAGTATACAGGACCCGGGCTTCAATATCTTTCATGTGATGGAAGATTTGCCATTTCCAATATGGCTACTGAATTTGGAGGTATAGCAGGTGTTTGTGAAGCTGATGAAATCACAGCAGCGTTTATTGCAAAACGAAAAAATCCTTCACATAAAAATTCAGCATTATATTTTAAGGCAGACCCTGATGCACAATATGCAGAAACTCACATAATAGATTTATCAAAAATCGAACCTTTAGTTGCATTGTACCCATCACCTGATAATGTTGTAAAGGCTAAAGAAGTTGAAGGCAAAAAACTTGATGGGGTATTTATAGGAGCATGTACAACAGCAGAAGAAGATTTAATTTTAGCAGCAATGGTATTAGAACAAGGATTAAAGAAAGGATTAAGACCAACCATAACAGGGATAAGAAAAGTCACTCCAGGCAGTTTGCCAATTGTAGCAAAATTAAAAAGATTAGGATTATTAAAAATTTATGAACAAGCTGGTTTTGAAATTGGAGCACCAGGATGTTCATATTGTATTGCAGTTGCAGCAGATCATGCAGGAGAAGGTGAGATTTGGCTTAGTAGTCAAAATCGTAATTTCAGAAATAGAATGGTGAGTATTATACATGTGAGAGATTAGTCGATCGATTGATTGATTTAAATATATTTTGTTTTAATTAATGGTTGAATTTATTAATAATAGGGAAAAGGGGCTATTGGAAATTTAGCATCAGCTGCTACAGTGGCAGCATCATCCTTTGAAATGTTAGTTAAAGATCCAACAGATCTACTTAATAGTGTTGATGTAGAAAAATATAAAGAATATCTTAACGAATGGTTAGATAAAAAAGTTTCGATTACTATTTCTGAACCAAATCCTATTTTACAAGGTTCAAACAATTTATCAGAAGGTTCATCAGAAGGTCCATCAGCTAATTCATCGGCAGAAGCAGAAACTTTGCCAACAACGATCAAAGGTAAAGTTCAAAGATTTGAAGATAATATTGACACTGATGCAATTATACCAGCACAATTTATGCCAGGCACAAGTGACGAAGACTTGGGCAGCCATGCATTTCAATATGTCAAACCAGATTTTGTACAAAAAGTTAAGGATGGTTTAGACATTGTAGTTGCTGGTGCGGGATTTGGATCAGGTAGTTCCAGAGAAGAAGCTCCTAGAGCCTTAAAAGGTGCAGGAATTAAAGCCGTCATTGCAAAAAGTTATGCTTATATTTATAGTAGAAATCAGGTGAATGAATATTAAATATCATATATATATATATACATATAATTTTATTTTTATTTAATATTTGAACTAGCACATAAATAATAAATATTATTATTTCTTATTATTTAATAAATTTAAGCCGAATATGGCACTTTTAGGTATTACAGTAGACGATGATGAATTTTATAAATTGGCGCAAGAAGGGGAGGAAGTAACGATTGATGTTAAGAATCGAAAAGTTATTTGTTGCGAGAAGGAATTTAAATTCAGATTATCTTTGATGGAAGAGAGATTGATTGCAGCTGGTGGGGTAACAAAAATGTATGAAAAATACGGAATTAAATTATTTAGAGAAGCTGTGGCTAATAACGAACAGATTGGTAGTTGTGGAAGTGAAGCTAATAAAAATAGTATTATTGATAATAGTTGTAATAATAATTCCAAAGAACTGGCATGGTAATTTGTAAATTATTATCATAAATTATTTATTTTATAGTTTGTAAACTAAAAAAAATTTAGATCTTAATAAACTGTGAAGATTATTTTATGTTTCTTTTATTTGAAAAAAAAAATTTATATATTAATCAATGACTATATAAATCCATGCATGATGAATGGATCAATTAGTAAATTATGCAAACGCAATGTTAGGGTGGTATTTATAGTGCTAAAAATAATCTAATAACAAGCCAAACTCAATCCCAATCAACAGCCCCAAAACACCATCATTCCTCTACTCACTCAAAAACAACATATCTGACAACTCTGACGCAAACACTTTCTACAACTATAAATATGAAACCTCCAATACATTGAAAACTTGAATTTATTAGTTAATTACAAAATCGATACCCTTGTTCCGGCATATCTTTTGGTAGTAGTAGTTATCAGTCACAGGGCATTTCCCGCCGATCTATAAGAGGTTATAAAATTTGGATGTAATCGAATGACTTCACACCCTCGTTTGATATCCTTGCTGTGTAGCAACCACCACCAAATTTGAGATATAATTTCTTTATCATATGTATCTACTTTATGAAAAATCTTAAAGCAGGTTGTTAATAAAACCGAAAATAATCTGACTTCAAAGTCAAATTTTGCCTTTATATTCATGTGCGTAGAATTTTGTTTGACGCGTCCAATTGCAAGTATAAGCAGAAATAAATGTCCAAATATTACATTATTATGAATATTTACAGATTTTTGATCACTTAGGTATGTCTTTTATAGTAAAATCATTTATTTTAAAAGTAAATATAATAAATAAATAGATTTTAAAAATTTTCTTTACCTATATACATAAATAATGATTAGAATAATAAACAAGAACAATGATGATTAAATTAAAAGGTGTTTTATCTTTGACTTTATTCATTTAATTATTTATCATAGTGATGTTATTAAATATAAGCTAAAATAAAAGAGAAATTTATATACATAAATAAATAATAAACAAGCAACAATAATGATTAAATTAAAAGGTGTTCTCTGACTTTATTCATTTAGTTATTTATCATAATGATGTTATTAAATATAAGTTAAAATAAAAGAGAAATTTATATGCATAAATAAATAAT